TTATTATTATAAGTATTATTACTTGTTTTTTTAACATTTAGACATGAAATATTGCTCATTATTGGATGCTTTTGATTCTGAAAACGGTATTTATGCATAGGTTATTAAATATATATATTTTGATATATATATATTTATGTTTATGTTTAGGTTTATGTTTATATGTATATGCATATGTTTATATTTATATTCGTATGCTTGTTAGTTTTGTTGCTAAAGCAAAAAAGCGGCTGCTGTCTGTTATCTAATTTGTTATTAATACTTAAAATTGCTTTTCGTATTGTTATAGTATTTAGTTTGTTTTCTTGTTTGTTGTTTGTTGTCGGCATAAAATACATTTCATTTTGTTTTAGTTTTCAGTTGGAATTAAAAAAAAACTACTTAGCTACATTACAAAATCGTTTTTTCTTCACTGGGCTTTCTTTCTGGTTTCTCGTACACCTTTATCACCCTTTAGCATATCATATCGTTTCTTCATTTCATCAACATTCTCGTTTCTTGTACAAAAAGAAATGCATTATTTTGAAAACGTATTTTGTTTCGTTGTGACAGATTGTGTGGACATTGGACAGGCGTCGAAGCATTTCCATAATTTGTATTTTGAGTTGGTTTAAAGTTTAAACTAAATTGCACATTGAGTTAAATTTTGAACGCAGATTAATTATTATTTATATACAATAGTTTTGTATTATTGAGGGTGTGGGAGTGTGCGTGTGTGTGTATCTCTAGGCTGGTAAGTGTGTGAGTATATGTATGTGTGTGTGTCTCTTAGTGAATATGTACAGCAACACAATTTTGGGGGAGAGGGCGAGTTAGCGAACGTCTTAGAGTCTAAACAGTTGAGAGCTTAATTGAATATATAAAATACCATTAGAGTGTTTTTATCGATGATGCTGATGCTGCGGCTGCCCTAGTTAACCATCAGTGTGTGCGATTCCATGGGCGCTGCCGAGTCATAGAGCGTGTCCGTGTCCTGCGTGGGCTCGCCCTGCAGCTGACACTGATTGGATAAGGTGCCGGCACCGCAATCACAAAAGAAACTGCGAAATCAAACGGAATTCGATTAATGAAATACTCATGTAAGTATAAATAAATTTTGAGTCGCCTCACCGATCGTGTCGTATAAATTCAACATCATGTCCTGCATGACAATTCTTTATGCAATTGACACATATGGCATTCCGATCCGTTGTATTGCAGGTCTGGCAGCGATAAAAGTCGTGCATGGGAAAGGAAGTGTAGCTGCTAATCTTGTACAGGCATTGGCCGCTGGACACCGCCTTCTCCACCTCATCCTCGTTGTTAAATATGTTGTTGCCGCGCGTTATCGGCTGCACGCCGCTGGCCAGGCACAGGCCACCGAACTTATTCTTAAATATCTGATTGTGCTCCAGCGTGGCTGTTGCATTGTTGGTTATCTCCACGCCAGCTGCTTGTCCGTCGTAGATGCGATTGCGTCTGAGTATCGGATGCGATTGCGTTGAGATCAGCACGCCCGCCTGCGTATTCCGAAAGATGTCGTTCTCCTCGAGTATGCCCTTGCCGCCATTGAAGATGCATATGCCGCCATCGCGTCCATCATAGATCTTGTTGCGCTTGAGTGTGGGATTCGAGTCGGTTTTGATCCACACGCCAGCCATGGCATTGTCAAAGATCTCGTTCTGCTCAAGCAGACCCAGGCCGCCGTTGTAGACCAGAACGCCGCCATTCTGGCCGCCCCAGATCTTGTTGCCACGTATCACCGGATTGCTGCCCGTGCGTATTTGCACACCCGAGTACAAATGATTGAATATATCGTTATCCTCCAGCTTGCCATGTCCGTTGTCATAGAAATAGACGCCCACTTGCTTGCCGGAGTGTATGCGATTACGTCGCAGCACTGGTGTGCTGCCCGTGGTTATCCACACGCCGGCCAAAGTATTCGAGTACACCTCATTCTCCTCAATCAGCCCCTGGCCCTTCTCGTGCACATAGATGCCCCCATGCTGGCCATGGTGAATCTTATTGTGCCGCACTATCGGATCACTGTTCGTGCGTATCTGAATGCCAGCCAGTGCATTGCCATAGATGTTATTATGCTCAATGAGGCCGCGTCCCTCGCCAAAGATATAGACGCCGCCCTGATGGCCATTATAGATTTCATTCTTGCGTATGGTTGGATTACTGTTCGATGTTATCCACACACCTGAAGAGATAAATTGAATTTGAATTATTGATTAATTTGAGATCAGTTTAGTAATCGATAATGATGTCGATATTATTTTAAGCATTCAAATTTCACATTTTTTGAGTAAGTCACAGTTTATATTATTGATTAATTAATTCGACTGCAGTATAGAAAGTAAATATAAAATAGTAATCTATAAATCAGAGCTTTATCACTTAACTATATTCACCTAAATTTACTTTATAATTTCCTTGGGTAACTATTATCGATATCGAAAGTTTGTTATCAGTAATCATAGCTTCACATACCCGCAAAATTATTTGAATGTATTCGATTTTCAATGAACTGTCCCAGCCCATTCTCATGCACATAGATGCCGCCCGTCTGACCATGATGAATCTCGCACTTGACCACTGTGGGATTGGCGCCAGCTTTGACCTCAAAGCCAGCTATGCGATTGTTGTGTATATCGTTCTTCTCAAAATAACCCTGAAATAACAATTATAATAATTAAACGGCAATTATAGAAGCTTAAGGTGAAAAACTATTTCAGCTATATGCAAATCATAGATACATATTCATATATATAAGCCCATACCATGCCATTCTCAAAGGTAAATATGCCCACATCGCGTCCATGGTGTATATGATTCTCACGCATTATGGGGCTGGCAAAGTTCTTCACCCAAATGCCGGCCAGGGCGTTACGGCTGATCTCGTTGTGCTCGTAGGTGCCCTGGGCGTAGTCCGTCACGTAGAGTCCGACGTTTTCGCAGTCGCTGATGTCACAGTTGCGTATAACGGGATTGGCGCTGACGCCGCCCACACAGACAGCGGCCCCCACCACCGATGTGGAGCGTATGATGCAGTTGTCCACAGTTGGCGAACAATTCTCGCCAATGTCCAGGCAATAGTGCTTGTGATGCGACACCGTTGAGGTGACCTCCGGGGAAAACTTGAGCGTTAGATAGCCCACATAGGCGTACTTGGCACCCTCCACGAACATCACAGTGGATCCTGCCTCGCGTTCCAGCACCACCGACTCGGCCACATTGCCGGGTGCTGCTCCGACGAGTGCTACGTCGGAGTCAATGAACAGATATTCTCCTTTGTAGTGACCGGCATGCAGGAATATTAATGGGCCGGGATGCTCGGCTGGTGGCACATTCTCCTCGTATATATTGGCTAGAGCATTGACACTGGCACCGCCACCCCCAGCACCAACACCACCATTGCCGGTGCCGGTGCTGCTGGTGGTGTTCGAGAGACCGGCAGAGAGATTGCCAGCGCCAGCGCCAGCATTGGAGCCAGCGGCAAAGGCCGGCTCGAGAGCTGCTTGTATGGTATTGAAGAAGACGATGCTGCGTCCGGGCTGGCGCCTGTCCTGGTAGCCGGGGCGCACATGAACGCCGCGGTACAGCTGGCGGAAGCTCTCCTTCCAAGGATTGGCATACTCCGACTCCTCGGGCTTCTCGAACACGAATTTGCACAGCTCGGGATTGAAGAGCGGCAAATCGTACTCGAACACCGACTGAAACAGACGCTTCCACAGTTCCGTGTCGTTGGCAATGGTATTGAAGCGCTTGCAGACCAGCGCCAGCCGGCATAGATCCTGTTCCAGCAGGTAGGAGAATATGGCCAGCAGCACCTCATCGGCCAGCTCATATTGCAAATATTGCGCAGCTGTGGGTCCAGCACCGCTGGCCGCACTGCCTCCGCTGCCCGCATCCATGCTGGGCACTGCCGCCGTGTCCGTCTCTCCGCTCTGCGTGTAGAGGCGGCGCGAGCGCTTGCGTGCCGGCAGCATATAATTATTCTCCTCAATTACCGCTGCAGCCCCGCCCACGGGCAAGGCGCCGCAGTGCTGCTGCTGCGGCACAGAGCTGTGCACATTCGGGGGCTGCGCGAGCGTGGCACCTGTTGTGGGCGCATTGCTTACGGGAAAGGTGGCGCTGGTTGAGGGCGCCTGTACAATGGCCGATGGCGACGAGGACGACGAGGTCGATGATGAGTTTGAAGCCGACGATGCCGATGAGGAGCAGGCAGGTGAATTGCTGGGGTTGAGTAATGGCGGCGAACTGCTGGATGGACCCACCATAATGGCCACAGATTGGCCAGTGCTAGAGCCGGAGGAGCACCACTGATCATGGTTACTCACGGCGGATATCTTGCGACGCAGATCATATGGCGACTGATGGCAACAGGAGGCGCTGCTACTGCTACTGTTGCCACTGCTGTTACTGCTAGTGTTGCTGCTGTTGCCCTGACTGGCAGCGGATGTGCTGGGAAAATTGGAATTGCAGGTGATGCTATTGCTGTTGCTGCTGCTTGGACCAGCGGCCGACGAGGTGCTGGCCAGTGTTGAGTTGCTATCGGAGGTGTCCATGATCTGCACAGAATTGTATATGTTACTCATGCACGGGTTTTGATTGAGGCCAGTGGAGGATCCGGCAGCAGCGCTACTCGTAGATTGACCACTATCAAAGTATTCCGTGGCATTGCTGCTGCTGGGGGCAGCATTGTTGTTGTTGTTGTTGCTGCTGTTTGAATTATTGCTACTTCCAGCTGATGCTGCAGCAGCCGCTGCTGCTGATGCTGCTGCTACTGTTGCGGAGGCTGTGCTTGTTGCTGCAGTATTGTTTTGCTGTGCGTGCACTGACTGCTGCAGCATGGGATCCATTATGTTGCCCGTGGGACGATTTGGCATGGCTATGCGATTGGCTCCTTTTCGTCTGGAGCGGCGCACATAGGTGCGCGATGATGTAAACGAGGCGCTGGGCATTTTTAGCTATACCCTTTTTATTTTATTTTTGTATGGAAATGCTTGCGGTAAAGGGGAAAAAGTTCTGTGGCGTTTAACACTTTTCACAATTTATCAACCCCAAACCCAATCTTAATTCCACACTCACACACACAGAAGCACTCGCACTGGCACTGGCACGGGCACAGACACACATACACACACAGCCACACAGACAGTTAAATGAGCCGATGGCAATGGATTTTCTCCTTTCACTTGCAGTTCGAATGCATTACTTCAATGTGAGCATTGCGTTCACAATTACGTTTTCGATAAAGCACTTTACTCAAATCATATTATATACTCAAACATTTTGTAAACTTTATTGTCGTTTATTGGACAGTTTTTTGCCTGCTTCATCATCTGCTCTTCTTCCTATTGTATGTATTGGTGTGCGTGTGAGTGTGCGGAGTTTTCGGGGTTTCTATCCTTTGTTTCTCATTTGTTTTGTTTTATTTGGAAAGAAGAGTTGCACTAGCTATCACACAGTACTGCTGTTTCGCTCGCTCATTGTTTCTTTTATTTGCTCTTTGTGATTTGCTTCGTATTGGCAGCTGAAAATTTCATGCTAGATTTCTTCATTATTTTCACACACTTTTTCCAGCAGTCGCACCTTCAATTTAGTTACTGATGACTTTGTAACCATATGTTACTATAAATCCATACGGTAAGCAACTTTTTTAAATTTGCAAACGAAGCAAGTACGACAGAAACGAGCACGACGGGCCTGCAGTTCAGCCTACGATGACTTTTCTTTAGTGCTGCGGTCAATAAGTTATCGATATTTGAAACTCACAGGGTTGCATTTTTATCGATGATATCCGTACACAAAAACATATCGATTAAAGCTTTTCACATTACTATTCCCGCCACTTCGGGCATCACACAGATTGTAACTGCGCCGCATTTCGCAATAACTGTAATTGTTTCTTTTTTTGGCAGAAAATCCTATCGTCATTAAACTATATAATGCCAATTGCTAGTCTTACCACAGGCGTGATTGCGGTAATAATTTATTAATTCACGGTGTTTCTGTTGCAATAACTGAACCGGTCGTCCTTATAGCGCATCATGCACGGCGAGGATGTCCCACAGCCGGTGCTGCAAATCCTGGGTATCAAGCGGATCAACACCAATACGGATCAGGAACGCTTTCGGTTATTGATGTCTGATGGCAAGTATTACAACAGCTATGCCATGCTGGCCAGCCAATTGAATGAAATGCAGCACAAGGGACTGCTCAACGAGAACACAATCGTGCGTCTGGACAAGTACATGACATCCATGGTTGGCAAAGAGGGCTCCGGCAAGTAAGTTGATTATTGTATTTGGAATTGGCTGCAAATGTTTATCTGAGCAATTGTTCTTAGACGCGTACTCATTGTAACCGAGGTGACTGTGTTGAACTCAGGTGATGAGGTAAAAACCAAAATAGGCGAACCCGTGACGTACGAGAATGCAGCTAAGCAGGACACCGTACCAAAAGCAGCTCCTGTTACAGCAAGTGCTCCAGTGAAAAAGGAACAATCTTACAACAATAACAACAACAATAACAATACCATGAACAGCACCATGAACGGCACACTCAATGCCAGTCTCACACATCCAATTGCCAGTCTAAGTCCGTATCAGAACAAATGGGTGATTAAGGCACGAGTTACCTCAAAGACGGCCATTCGCACCTGGAGCAATGCCCGCGGCGAAGGTAAACTCTTCAGTATGGATTTGATGGACGAATCCGGTGAAATTCGAGCCACCGCTTTTAAAGAGCAGTGCGATAAGTTCTACGATTTAATCGAGGTGGGCAATGTCTACTTCTTCTCCAAGTGCCAGCTTAAGCCGGCCAACAAGCAGTATTCTCAACTGAAGAATGATTATGAGATGACTTTCACCGGCGAGACTATGGTTCAGCTATGCGACGAAGACGATAATGGTGGCATACCCGAAATAAAGTTCGATCTAATACCTATTTCGCAAGTATCGAACATGGAAAACAAAGAAGCCGTCGATACAATAGGCATTTGCAAAGAAGTGGGCGAGCTGCAGACCTTCACTTCACGCACAACCAACAAGGAGTTCAAGAAACGCGAACTCACCCTGGTGGATATGAGCAATGCTGCCGTCACTCTAACGCTCTGGGGCGATGAAGCYGTCAATTTCGATGGACATGTGCAGCCCGTCATCTTGGTCAAGGGATCGCGTATCAATGAATTCAACGGTGGCAAAAGTCTTAGCATGGGCGGCGGCTCAATTCTTAAAATTAATCCAGATATACCTGAGGCCCACAAGCTGCGAGGATGGTTCGATAATGGAGGCGGCGATAATATAAGCACCATGGTCTCAGCGCGCACTGGCGGTGGCAGCTTCAGCACTGATTGGGTGACCCTGAAGGATGCTCGCATTCGAAATCTGGGTTCGGGCGACAAACCAGACTACTTCCAATGTAAGGCAGTTGTGCATATTGTCAAGCAGGAGAATGCATTCTACAAAGCGTGTCCTCAAACGGATTGTAATAAAAAGGTCGTAGATGAGGGAAATGGCCAATACCGCTGCGAACGCTGCAATGCAGCATTTCCCAACTTCAAATATCGCCTTCTGATTAATGTGAGTTAACTATACATTGACCTTTATTTAACATCTCATTTCTAAACTCGTTTCCTTGCAGATGAGCATTGGGGATTGGACCTCGAACCGTTGGGTGACCTGCTTCAGCGAGGTTGGCGAGCAATTGCTGAAGCACTCGGCTCAGGAAGTTGGTGATGCTTTAGAGAACGATCCGGCAACCGCGGAGAAAATGTTCTCCGATATTAACTTCTCGTCTTACATTTTCAAATTGCGCTGCAAGAATGAGATGTATGGTGACATGACGCGCAACAAACTGACTGTCCAGTCCATGAGTCCCATCAACTACAGGGAATACAATAAGCATCTCATAAAAGAGCTTAAGGAAATGACTGGCATTGGACCTGCTAACTAGCTCTTCTACACGTGCAGCGCGCGTCTCGTGAAAATATGTATGTTAAGCCAATTAATTAAGTTTAAATATTATATATATCGCACCTAATTGAAATAAACTTAGTGCGACACAATCGTGTATACCTTAAACATTTATAATTAAAGCTGTCTTCATTTTGAATTATGATCAATTAATTAATTAATTAATATATATTTATTAATTCATTTCTTTTAGCTATAGAAAATTACAGAGTTTTCTAGCAGGACAGTGAAGGACGAGTTGTTGATCAGCTGGTCATAAATTGTTATGGTTGGAGAATTACTCCTAATTCCAGCTCCTGCCACTGTTAGTGATGAGCAAGCACACTGGCCTCCGATTCCGTCTACGAGTTATTTCCAATGGTAGGCAGTCATCGATAGTCACGATCACGCAGAGTTGTATTTTTTAAGCTGATAAAGCACTGCGGCATATGTATGTACGTTTATACAGGCGTTAAAAGCTCTTAGAATTCATTAAATTATACATTCCCGCGATTTCATCAAACGAATTTTTACTAGATTTGTTTTATTCAAGAAGATATTAATATTTCTATAGAAAATACATTTTAATCAAATTTTATAATGACGTTGATTGCAAGTCTAACTAAAGGTGCAATAACGGTAAATATACATACTACAATTTGAAAAATCTTGATGCAATGTAGTGTACGATCTGACTCATATTGCAGCGAATGATGCGAGGCGATACGGTATTAAATCCAGTTCTGCAGATTCTGAATGTTCAGAAAGTAAATACGGGCAATCCAGATGAGGATCGTTATCGCGTGACCTTATCTGATGGCGAATATTACCATACCTGTGCCCTGCTGGCCAGTGAGCTGAATAAAATTCAGCACAGAGGACTGCTCAGTGAGAACACAATTGTGCGGGTAAGCAAATACTCGATCGATATGTCTGGAAGGGGGGTATCCGGCGGGTACGTAGATAAATGAATTCGGCTGTAAATGTGTCTATAATCGATCGTTTGCAGCCTCGAGATTATTGTGGACGAGATAACAGTGCTAAATTCGGAGTATGAAACAAAAATAGGTGAGCCCGTGACCTACGAGAATGCGGCTAAGCAGATTACGGCTCCGGAAGTATCTGCTCTTGCGATAAGTAATCAATCTTGCAACCAAATTAATGAAGAAGTAATTCCGATTGCCCATCTAAGTCCACATAAGCTCAAATGGATTATAAAGGCCCGGGTTAGCAGTAAGACGCGCATATTTCCGTATAAGGGAGGCAGATTGTTTAACATGAATTTATTTGATAAATCTGGTGAGATTCGTGCAACTGCTTTTAAGGACCAGTGTGATAAATTCCACGGTATGATCGATGACGGCAATGTTTACTTTATCGCCAACGGTTGCATTAAGCCGGCCAACAAACAGTATTCCCAACTGGAAAATGATTATGAGATGACTTTCATAGGCGACACTATGGTTCAGCTATGCGACGACAATGGTGACACACCCGAAGTAAAATTCGATCTGATACCACTGGCGCAAGTATCGAATATGGGAAATAACGAAGCCGTCAATACAATTGGTATTTGCACAGAAGTGGGCGAATTGGAGATCAGAATTTCGAGTAAAACCAACAAGGAGTTCAAGAAACGCGAACTCACCCTGGTGGATATGAGCAATGCTGCCGTCACTCTAACGCTCTGGGGCGATGAAGCYGTCAATTYCGATGGACATGTGCAGTCCGTCATCTTGGTCAAGGGATCGCGTGTCAATGAATACGGCGACTGGAAGAGCCTTAACGTGGGCTGGGGCTCAATTCTTAAAATTAATCCAGATATACCTGAGGCCCACAAGCTGCGTGTTTGGTTCAATAATGGGGGCGCCGATAATACAGTATCTGCTCGGAAAGTTGAATTGATGACCCTGAAGGATGCGTACCTTCGAAATCTGGGTTCGGGTGACAGGCCAGACTACTTCCAATGCATAGCAATAGTGCAGAATGTTATTCAGACGAATGCCTTTTACAAAGCGTGTCCTCAAATGAACTGCAACAAAAAGGTCGTGGATGTGGGCGATGGCCTATACCGCTGCGAATCCTGCGATGCAGTATCTCCTAACTTCACGAATTTCCTAAGGGTTAAAGTGAGTACTGTGTACCTTCATCTATATTCGAATAGTATATCTTCATTTTTGTATGCCGCAGATAAAAATTAGTGATTATACCTCGGACCGTGAGGTCATCTGCTTTGGCAAGATCGGCGAGCAGTTGCTTAGGCATACAACCCAGGAGATTGTTGAGGCCTTAGAGAATGATCCGGCTAGAGCTCTAAAAATCTTTACTGACATTAATTACACATTGTACATTTTCAAATTGAGCTGCAAGAATAAGCTGTACAACGGCAAGATGATCAGTACGCTGACCGCCCAGTCCATGACTCCCTTCAACTGCAAGGAATACAACAAGCATCTGATCAAGGAAATCAATCAAATGCGAGCTACAGCTGCGAGCTAACCAGCTTGTCGAAATTGAAAATATTATCAAAGTTGCAATATTATAATAAGGTGCAATATTATTTTGTTATCTACCCAATAAACATTTTTTACTGTTGTAAAATTGTTGAATTTAATTGTAATACTGTTGTCTCTCTTTACACTGAAGAGAAAAGAACATCGGGCAGGAATAGTAAGTGTACTTATTAGATGATACCTGGCCTACTGCTCAGGGCATAGCCCAGTCGAGCACTCCTAGATTCTAGCTCGCGTTTGCTTCGGTATTCAATTCGACTTAAAGGTAGAGACATAATGAATAGGAATTAATGTATAAAATCTTTACCCTCTCCCTTATCAGAAATCTTTACGAAATTGCTTGTATTTATGTGTAAATTATTTATATTTTATTGATTTCTAATAAATTCATATTTTGTTTCTTTTCGATTTATATATATAGGGTATATGTATATATATCAAAAAAGTTCATAGTTCACAGCTGTCGCGCTGTCGTTGTTGACTAGTTTGCTTCTCAGCTATTAAAAGTGGATTAATTATTTGTTGCTTAGTTGTTCATTTAAATAAATTATGAGTATATTACGCAGATATCTTCACTATATGTTTTTTTTTTTTTTTTTTTTTTTTTTTTTGATAAAAAATATATAAAACGATTGTGGTTTTATGCAATATAGCTATGAAAGTTGAGATATATATGTATATGTATGTATATATTTTGTATATTTTATATATAATTATTTTTTAAAGTAAAAACTGCATTGCACATTTTATTATTTGTGTGTGTGTGTAAATTTAACTTGAACCTTGTTTTGATTAGCGTTTCAGATTTTGGTATAATTCGTTTTGATTCTTCATATGCTTTGTCTATATAGATATAGTTAGATTCATAGAATTTATTCAACTTGATCAACTTATAGATATACATATATATTTAGTTTATCCAGTTTATTAATGCAGCTTAGTAACTTTAGCGACAATTCCACATTCGTAACATAATCCTAACTGATTTATTTATATGTATTTAGAGAGATATCTAGTAAATATTGCGTTTAGTATAGAATTTTTGTTTCGTTTTTGTTTTTGTTTTTCTTTTTACAACATTTGGCACCGAAGCAAATAATTAAAATTAAAATTAACTGAGATTAATGTATTAATTAATATCGACACAATACTTGTTATACGAAACTAATCCTCACTCTCTATGGGTAACGGCTGACTGATGCGAATGCTAATGCTGATGCTGATAATGATTATGATGATGATGATGATGCTGCTGTTGACAATGGAGGTGCTGCTGCTCCAACTGATAGCCATAGCTGGATCTGGAGCTGGCCTGCGTCTGCACCGAGAAGCTCAAGCCGCACGAACAGTGCTCGATGTGGGGCGGTGCTGTCGTTGAGGGCATGGCATGTACCTGGGCCTGCTCCGTGATGATGGTGGGCGTGGGCGATGGCGACGACAGGCAGTCCTGACAATACGCCAGACTGTGAGTCGCCCGGAAATGATTGTACGTAGCTGAAGCTGAGAGCGGCGGTGGTGGCGGTGGCGGTGGTGGAATTGGTGTGGGTGGACTCTCAGCCGCTGCTGGTGGCTCTGCTGGTCCTAGTGTTCCTGCTGGTGGTGGTGTCAACGATTGCGTCGAGCAGCTGGAGTCGCAGCTCTCGCTGGCCGTCTGCGAATCGGTGCTGTCCGAGGTCGAGGTGGACGAGGATGGCTTGTGTGGCTGATGCGGCTGATCGGGTGGGTGATGGCAGCGACATATTGTAACTCAAAAAGTGCCGCCATCGTGTGGATGACTGACGGCAGCCTCAACAGCAACCGGCGCCGGCACCGGCGCAGGCCCAGGCGCACGGCCATTGGCCAGCAGCTGTTGCTGCGGCGAGCTGTAGCCATCGCCGGCGCCATCGCCATTCAATTGCTGCGGYGGCTGCGGCTGCGGCTGCTGCTGCTGTGGCTGCTGATTGTTGTGTGAATGATGATTGTGATTGTTAATGGAATGATTGAGCGATGCATGTGTGTTGGGTGAGTGTGCCTCGTCGCTCGTCGTCAGAATGGGGCCCAGTCCGTTCGCCGTCACGCCCAAGGATTTGGGCGGTATCGGTGGCGGAGGCACGGGTATGTCCTCCACATCAAACGAGCTGGTCGAGCTGTCACGTTGCGGTATATTCATGCCACCGGCATGCATGTGCATATCGAGGCTGCCATTGGAGCTGATGCGACAGTGCTCCCGATGGTGAACCGTGCTCATGGATAGGCTGGCCGACTCCTCGCTGAGATTGTTCAGCTGATTGAGCTCACGCGAGCTGGTCGTCGAGATGCCAGAGTCACGGAAATCGTTGGGCGCAAAGCAAACGCTCAGGTGATTGCCCGCCTCCTGCAGATTGGGCGGCAGCGAGTGCGGCTGCTGATCCGCCTCGGGATCATCGAAGCTGATGTCCACCACAGAATATTTTTGGCCGTGCTGCTGCTGTGCCGAGTGCCGCCTGGCAGCGGCATCTGATGCGTGGCCAGCGCCGAAATCATTGAATATCATCGGATTGGAGGCACGCTTGTCCGGCGTGATGCCACGCGGCGGCAGGGGCGGTGCATTGGACGAGCTGCTCATGGGCTGGCGCTTGGGCGGCACCTCCGGGCTGTCGATGCTGCCGCCGCCGTTCACGCCGGCTGTGACAAAGTTCTGGGAGCGTGGGCGATGCGGCACTGGCGGCGCATCCGCCTGCTCGACGGGCGGCAGAACTATGCTGAGGCTCTCCTTGCTGAGAGTCTGATAGGAATTCATGGCCTCAACCGGACGCAGCGTATCGCCGGGCCGCGTATAGATCTCATCCAGCTCGTACACATAGTTGGCGTTCGCCTGTTGGTGGACAAGTCCAGCTCCAGCTACGGTTCCGCCTCCTGCTCCTGCTGCAGTTGCTGCTGCTCGCTGCTCTGTGGGCAACGGCGGCAGCGGTGTATTCACAATGCTCTCCGAGGGCTGACGCTTCAGCCGACCCATGCCGGAGAGGCTTTGCTTCAGCTGCGAGAAGCGTTCGAGCAGGCGATTGTGCAGCGGTTGCACGCCCGCTGGCGCCAGCTGGCCATGTAGCTCCAGTGCCTGTTCCAGAATTTGTATCTGCTCCAGTATGAGCACTTTCAGGCGCTGCACATTCGCCTGTTGGCCAGCGCCCTGCGGAGACTTGAGAAACTGTTCGGAGAAGAAGGCCTCCTGGTACTTGCTGATGCCGCCCATTACATTGGCATCGATGGTGCCCTGGAGGCGCATCGAGAACGGATTGATGTTGCGCTTGGGATCACGTCTGTATTGGACAATCAGATCGGCTAGCTCCTTGCCGGCATTGTTGATAATCTCGCAGGCATACTCGACTGGCGTCAGCTCCTGCACCGACTTGTGCTTGACCTCGAACCAGCGCAAGATGCCCGGCAGCGGGCTGGTTATGTCCAGGGTGGTGCGCTCGATCCACAACGACTTGAACTCGTTGTCCTTGTCGATGGGCCCCTTGTACATGGGCCGGTCATAGATGAAGCGCGTCACATCGTTCACCTCATAGAAGCGCGCTATCTTCTCCGGCACCGGCACCATCGCCGTCTTCAGCGCCTGCGCATCGCCCACCGGTCGCACATTGCTGATCTGAATGTACTGCTCGGGCGCATTCAAGATCGACGCCTCCGGCGGACTATTGTTGGCCAGGATCTGGGCGCTGGGAAACTCCGTCTGCAGGCGCTGCGTGAACGCGCCAATGCGCTCGTACTCCAGCCCGCGATAGACGAACTGTTTGTTCTGTAAGAGATTGGGCAGGTCAGTGAGTGGATTCATTTGCCTATGGTAAGGCGTTAGCTCACCCGCACAAAAAGCGGCAGACCCATGCCATAGAAGCCGACGCGAAAGTATTCCGGCTCCGGGCGCAGCTGTGTCAATATGTTCTGAAAGAACTTGGCCTCCAGGATGAGTATGTCGCTCAGCTTGTTGTAGTCGAAGCGACGCGTCTCGTACAGCTGCGCCAGCTCCTTGCACAGCGGTATGCCCTTCTCCCAGCATTTGCCCTTGTCAAAGTACTTGAGTATCTGCAAGATGCATACATGGAGAGTTTATAATCCAATAGAGTTCGTTAGTTTTAGGGTGGACCTACCTCGTGATAGAGTCGCTCCTTGCGCTGCCATTCCGGCTGCCCGCTGTTGTCGAAGGGCGCAAAGCTCTGCGTTTCTCGATCCCAGCTGAGCATCGAGGCGTACAGCTTTAACGTATAGCCCGCCTCCGTATAGTTCTCCGCCTGCAGATGCAGATTGTGCAGCTTATAGATGTATCTGTGGGAGGTATTATTGAAATGAATTATATTAATCGATTCAACGATTGCTTAGAGATCATATTGACTCAACGCACCTCAGATACATCTCCTTGCGATTGATTTCGTTTTTGTAAAAGTTGAGTAGATTGACGGTGCAGGTCATGCGCTTGTCTCGATTCTCCTCGCCCTGCATCACGCTGCGATAGTCCAGCAGTCGCTCCAGCAGACGCGTCACAGAGGCGATAAAAGCGGTGCCCGCATCCTTCCAGCTGGGGTTCTCCGTTCGCACCTTCTCCAGCAAACTAGAAGAGGTTCGATTTATATTAATACAATGGGTCGAAATGGCATTTCTTTTTAAATATCTTGAATGGAATTTCGAAATGAAATAGCCGAGGAATCAATATTCTGGTGAATAAAATTACGATATTAGAATAAAATGTGACGAATTTCTTCAGATTATACATATGTAGGTATATAAAATTATTATTATTATTTGTATTAACTTTATTTATTATTAATTAATTTTCGAAATTAAAATAAATTTAAATAAATAATAAATATTGTTTGAGATAAAATTTATTTGAAATCGGTACTGAAAAGCAAATAGAGGACTAGATATCCTGGAGGATATGTTTTTAATACAGAATTAGCTATTCTTTTAGATTAATATAGGATCAGAACTTAAGGTTGAAAGATAAAAATAAAACTTGGAAAGTCTATAATAGAAACATATAACCAAAGTTTAAATAATCTGGTGATATAGAACCAGATAGGATTTCACATCATATA